TTTAATAGTATTTCTGTATTTATTTCAGATTTAGTCAGTCGTACACTTAGTTCTTATCAGTGTTCAAAAGAAGGCGTGTTAACGCTCTATTTAATCAAAATTAAACATAAAATGTCAAAGTTCATTACAACTGCCCTTTGAGGGCCACCATAAAACTCATGTGGCCCTTGGTGAAAATGAGTGTGACACCCCTGGTCTAGGTCATTCATTCGCAAAGTCAGGATCCCGACCTACATTGGGATCTTAGATTTTTTTATGGGTCACCAAACTGCTTTCTTAAAAACGTTCCTCTCTTATCAACAATCATGAGTGCAGATTATCATTAAGCCATGCAAGGGAACCTGTAGCTTTTTTCACTGCAATCACAGTGCCCATTTATAGAGCAAATCCATCCATTATCTTTAGCCGCTTCTTTGTTTCAGGGTTACGGGGGTCACTGGTACCATATATCCAGCAGTCACTGTGCGAGGGGCAGGGTACACCCTGGACAGGTCCCAAGTTCATCACAGAGCCACACATAGAGACCAATAAGCATCATCTCTGTCACTCACACCTAACARCAATTTAGAGTAACCAGTTAGTCTAACAGTCATGTTTTTGGTCGGTGGGAGGAAACCGGAGTTACCYGGCAAAAACTCACACATGCATGGAGAGAACATGCAAACTCYCCTCAGAAGGTCCYAGGTTGGGGTTTGATCTGACAACCTTCTYGCTGAGAGGCAACAGCTCTACCAAATGAGAAAATCAACCATGTCAAAACTCAGTCACCAGTGAAAAGGAATGGATGCTTGATTAATAAAGAGACATGGCAAAAGACCAAGCATCAACTAATGGATGCCATACTACAGAGAATAAAGATCAACGCAAAGTGAAAACTGTAAGTTCACTCAAAAAAAGCAACAACAAAAAAGGAGAAGAGAGGAAACATTAACAGAGCTGGTGGGACAAGCCACACTACTAACCCTAACCCATTACTCTRTATGTTATCCAGGACTAAATGTATTATTTTTCATTTTAGAGAGAGAAAAAAAAACAAACAGCTGGTTGTTTGTCTGCCTTATTTTGAAATATTGTGTCTAAATACATTCAAATGGTCTACAATGTTTCCAAGAAGATGTGCATACATTTTTAAGTTAAATTTTGAAATTATTTGTAAGTGAATAAACCAAGGTAATGCTTAGAACAGAGATTCTTAACCTATGGGCCACGGCCCAATGAGGGCCTCAAACAAACAACAGTTTTTTAACTTTGGGGCACAGAGGGCCGTGGGACAGCACTGATTTTGAATAAGATGCAATACATTTTCTCACCACTAGTAGCAGTA